TGAGACGGAGTCTCGCTCTGCCACCCAGGCTGGAGTGCAGTGGCACGACCTCAGCTCACTGCAGCCTCTGCCTCCCAGGTTCAAGCGATTCTCCTGCCTCAGCCTCCTGAGCAGCTCCTGACCCCATGATCTGCCCACCTCGGCCTCCCAAAGTACTGGGATTACAAGTGTGAGCCACCACACCTGGCCAAAACTTTATAATCCATCCCCAGTTCAGCACCATCTCACCTCCCCAAAAGTACAGAGACATCACTTCTCCCCAAATGTAAGAGTAAAGAGTTGGACAAATGGTTTCTGAGGCTCCATCCAGCTTCCACAGTCTAAAATGTAAGCCTAGAAAGTGACCCTATTTTCTCAATAACTTAGGCACATCCTAAACTCTTCAGGAATTAAGGAAACATTACTACATGCTGTACAAAGGCTATAGGATGCTTCTAGATTTCAGAAGCATAGAAAATTGTGCTTTTAGTCATGAGGCGAATTAAAATACTGTATGCAGTGGTTTGAGGAGGTGATAGAATCATGTTTCTGAAGATGATTCCAGGGCATGTGGAAATGCTCATATGTTAAAGGAGAAAAGTCATTTGCTTTCATTATTTTATACATAATACATATGTGTTTCAGAGGGCTATTTAATAATTTTTTTAGAGGCTGTCTTTTAAGGATAGAATTATGGTAGATTTTTTTTTTTTTTTTTTGTAAGACGGAGTCTCCCTCTGTCCCCCAGGCTGGAGTGCAGTGGCACCATCTCGGCTCACTGCCACCTCTGCCTTCCAAGTTCAAGCAATTCTCCAACCTCAGCCTCTTGAGTAGCTGCGATTACAGGTGTGTGCCACCACGCCAATTAATTTTTGTATTTTTAGTAGAGATGGGGTTTCACCAGGTTGGCCAGGCTGGTCTTGAACTTCTGATCCACCTTCTTTGGCCTCCCAAATTGCTGGGATTACAGGCGTGAGCCATCTCACCCAGCCAGATCTTTGTTTGAAAATGCCATATAATTTTATTTATTAGTTTGGGGGTTGAGGAGAGACCTCAGGTATCAAGATTTGGGTTAATTGTACTCCGTAGGCACATTGACATTAGCGGTTTATAAAGTAACTTTCAAAATATTGACTATCCCCACTAGAGGGCACTCTTCTTAAATTTTAGATTGCCTGTAACAGTGAAGATTTAAGATCTTAAGTTTCAAGATTTCATTTTAACACAGTTGGGGACTGGAGCCTATTTATTTGTTTGCTTGTTTGTTTGCTTGGCTTTAAATAAACTTTTTTTACTAAGTTAACTTTTTCTACCCTCCTTTATATCATCTACATTTCTGTCTTTTGCAGAGTGAATGGAATAATCAATTTAGTAATTTGTATCTCTTCCAAACACCCTTTTTTTCAGTTTATGTTCCCACAGCAGGATATTATTAAAAAGATGAATGCTAAGGAATTATCACTAATTTTGTTAGGTATAATAATGTTATTGTGCTTAGTTTTT